TGTGGGAGGGGGATTCAGTGGGTGGGGAGAGTCAGTGATGGGGAGGGAGTGTACAGGGGGCTGTGGGAGGGGGATTCAGTGGGTGAGGAGAGTCATTGATGGGGAGGAAGTGTACAGGGGGTGTGGGAGGGGGATTAAATGGGTGGGGAGAGTCAGTGATTGGGGGGAGAGTGTACGGGGGTGGGGGGGGAAGGGCTACAATTACATTGAACCTGAGCGGAGTGAAATACACTAACCTCCCCGGTGTCTCTGTGCAGGTGAAGAGGAGGCGAACAGCTTTCACACGGATGGATGGACAGTGTGAATTTGGCGGAGTGTCCAACATCAAAAAGGATAGAGCAGGTCCGTTGTCCATCCTGTCCATCCCTCCCGAGTTAGTGAGTATCCAGTATAGTACATGGAAGAGGATGCACCACCTTCATCTAAACGATGAGCACAAATTTCCACAAGCATCCAGGCCTTGTAAGACACAGTTATAATAAAGCTTCATCGTTAGAGAAAATTCTCCTGCCTTCTCTCTCCTCTCTGCTTCCATCTGGCTATTTTCTCCTGCCTGCCACTCCGTATTCCCTGTTGTCTGACGTATTCCTGATTTACACTATAGTGTGGTCCTGTCAGGTTGCACCTCTGTACACCGTGTGTCTCACGTTGACCTGCTAGTCTTAGCTGTAATGTGACTTTTCCCTGTTTAAGGGGATTTTGTTCTTCCGTGGCCCTCCTGGGTAGGGGGGGTTCCGGTCTGAGTGACTGGAGGTGGATGGGTACAGAACCTGGCTCTGGAGAGTCCGTCTGCTCTGTTATTGCAGTGTTGGCCTGTGGCTGTCTTCTGGGTGACCCAGGTGTTGTCTGACCTTAACGCAGTGGGTTGTACAAGACCCCAGAGCGATGGGTTGAATGGAAGTCACAAGGAGGTCCCTGCTGGTCTGAGCCAACAGCACTAAAACAGATTGTCTAGTCATTGTACTCTCTGTGGGAGCATTCTGTGTAGAAATTGATTGTAAGTACATGTCAAATGTATTTCGTTGGCTGTAAAACACTTTGGATGTTCCAAAGTTGCAAAGGGCACTATCTAAATGCAAGTCTTTCTCTTTTTCTTTTTTGTAGATTTTCTCTCAATCTGGCCAGTTTCCCAGGAATACCAAACACCCGAAGACATGTCTTATCCCTCCCCGCCATCCCTGACAGGCCTGACTCAGATCAATGCAGTTGTTGTTGTAACAATGGAAGTGGTGTTCTATACGTTTCACTGAGACCTACCTCCAACTAACACATACAACTATCCCTCGTTTGTAACTCTCCATCTCTATTTCCTTCTCAGTATCTTAGCAAAATTTGCCTCCACAAATGTTTCAACATGTACTCAGTATTGTGTTCAATTCCAGATCAATCTTCACCTGCATTCTGTTCTGGATCAATTCACTCCTCACTTCAGTTCTTCCATTCTCTCCTGTGCTCTGTTCTAGATTGATTCTCTCCTATGTCCAATTCTGATCAGTTCCCTCCTCTGTTTTATTCTGGTTCAGTGCTGTTTTCTACCCTGTTCCTGATCTATCTTTTACTGTGTCCTGTCTTGGGTTGATTCTCTCTGGATCAATTCCTTCCTTTGTTCTGATCTGCATCAGACCTTTACTTTGATCTAGATCAAATACCTCCTATATCCTATTCTGAATTCATTCTCTGCCTCGACCAGTTCTTTCGCGTGATAAGTTCTGGAGCACTTTTCTCCTGTGCCATGTTCTACATCAGTCATCTCCTGTGTGCTGTTCAAGATTGATTGTTACCCTGCACGCTGTTCTAGATTGAGCGTTGCCCTGTGCTCTGTTCTAGATTAACCGTTGCCCTGTGCTCTGTTCTAGATTGATCCTCGCTCTGTGCTCTGTTCTAGATCGATCCTCGCCTTGTGCTCTATTCTAGCTCGATCGTCACCCTGTGCTCTGTTCTGTCCATGTTGCTGCTCCTATCCCTTCCTAACTCCAGTGAAGAAACACTGTTCAGTGTCAGGATGAAAACGAGTGATTGATCCAGCATTGATAGTCGTTTGTGGGTCTGAATTCCAAAACCCTCTCACAAGACTGTTTCCCAGTGACTGTCCTGAAGGAAGTTGGCTGTGGAGGAGAGGGCACGGAGATTGCAGAGGCTCCAATTTCAAAGCTCTGCCTTGAGTCCAGGTCCATCAGTAACATTTGTCTCTGTTTGCTCTGTCTGTCCCCACAAGCTATGTGCTGAAAACCACAAGTGGGCCACTGATTCCAGTTCTAACCTCCCGGGACTCCAATCATTCAGCTTCCTTTAAACCGTGAGCCTTGGTATCTCTCCCTTACCCCCACTCTTAATTCATTCAGGTTTCCCCTCTGTTTGTTTTAAAGCTGGTTATATTCTGTGCCCAGTTCTGAATATGATCTCAATTGTCTTACAATTAGGTTAAATCTCTGTTTAATTGTAATCTATGTGTGTTCAATACAGTGTTTCAGTCTGGGTATGTTCTGTTGTAAGTTCTATTTTGGAGCTTCCTATACTCAGTTCTATTCCAAGTATATTGCATACTGTGTTTAGAGCCTAATTATTTGTTTTAATGGATTCTATTCTAGCCCACTCCCAGCCCAAGATTGTATTCCTGGTGTATCCTGCACTATGTTCTATTCTGGATGTATCTCACACTGAACTCCATGCAAACAATGTTCTCTGTTCTATTATATTGATGTGTGTGTAATTCTTAGTCATCTGTTAATCCTGGATGTTTAATATTTAATGATCCATTTATCCTGCCAGCAATAATTTAAATTCATTTGTAACTCTTGGGTGTGACACTAGTATCACTCAGTCATTGGGAGGGGCGCCTCTTGCTTCTCAGTGACACCTCAGGGAGAGGACCGCACTGTCGGAAGGTCAATGCTGAGGGAGTGCCGCACTGTCGGAGGGTCAGTGCTGAGGGAGCGCCGCACTGTCGGAGAGTTAGTGCTGAGGGAGCGGGCACTGTCGGAGGGTCAATGCTGAGGGAGCGCCGCACTGTCGGAGGGTCAGTGCTGAGGGAGCGCAGCACTGTCGGAGGGTCAGTGCTGAGGGAGCGCAGCACTGTCGGAGGGTCAGTGCTGAGGGAGTGCTGCATTGTCGGAGGGTCAGTGCTGAGGGAGCACCGCACTGTCGAAGGGTCAGTGCTGAGGGAGCATCGCACTGTCGGAGGGTCAGTGCTGAGGGAGCGCCGCACTGTCAGAGGGTCAGTGCTGAGGGAGCGCCACACTGTTGGAGGATCAGCGCTGAGGGAGCGCCGCACTGTCGGAGGGTCAGTGCTGAGGGAGCGCCACACTGTTGGAGGATCAGCGCTGAGGGAGCGGGCACTGTTAGACGGTCAGTGCTAAGGGAGCGGGCACTGTTGGAGGGTCAGTGCTGAGGGAGTGGGCACTGTTGGAGACTCAGTGCTGAGGGAGCGCCGCACTGTCGGAGGGTCAGTGCCGAGGGAGTGCCGCACTGTTGGAGGGTCAGTGCTGAGGGAGCGCTGCACTGTCGGAGGGTCAGTGCTGAGGGAGCGGGCACTGTCGGAGGGTCAGTGCTGAGGGAGCACCGCACTGTCGGAGGTTCAGTGCTGAGGGAGCACCGCACTGTCGGAGGTTCAGTGCCGAGGGAGTGCCGCACTGTCGGAGGGTCAGTGCTGAGGGAGCACCGCACTGTCAGAGGGTCAGTGCTGAGGGAGCGGGCACTGTCGGAGGGTCAGCGCTGAAGTGAAGTGATCTCATTCACAGCATCCTGATGATAGTGTCCTGCTAACACCATAAGCAATGGATTAAGGTGTTTGCCTGTACTTATACGGTCAACCTGTATCCCTTTGTGTTTCTTATCAAGTGCAGAGCTCCCTCGCTTCTGCTGGATGCGTGGGTCAAACAGACAGTCCTGGACATTAAACCTTTCAAATCTAACAGTGCAATGGCAGGAAAGGATTTTATTTGGCCGTGTTGTATAGAGCCTCCCCGGGCCATGGCCAAAAAACTGCCATTCTAAATGCACCAAAGTGGCAGTCTGCAGCTCCCCCCTCACAAAGCCGCACCACCACCAGGACAATGGCCAGTTAATGCCCCCCCAGAATTCTGACACATGAGCCTAGACCCTACCATCTCCTGGAACAGCTGCCCCTGCCCCTCTCATAGTCTGACGGACAGATTTACCCTTGTACATCCCGTCCTCCCATTCCCACACTGTGACCACTTCCGTCTCGAGATCCTTCCTCTGTACATGGTGAGTTCATGTGTCCAACCCCCAGATCTCCCATATACCTTTCCTCCTCCCCCTCCCCATATCATCCTGGCTTCTCCCCGCTGACCCTGATCCACATGATGACCCCCAGAGCGTTCACCCTGACTGATACCTCACATAACTCAGCACAGGCCAGTGTTCAGCTCTGCGCTGTACTGGTGTTGGGACCTCCCGGGGTGACTGACGGCGGCTGGGAGAGGGGTGCCACTGATGGGTGGGGTGGGATGGTGTGGGGCTTTGTGTCTGGACTGCCCTCCCCCGCAAAGCCCCCTCATGTGACATCTTGTGTGACGTTAGATGCAAGGTCTCCCAGCCGACACAATTCTGTGCAATTTCAGCCAAAGCCTGAGATAAACAATTGACTTGGAGTGTTCTGGGCAACAGTAGGCCATTCAGCCCATCAAGTCCCTTCCACCATTCAGTGAGATCGTGGCTGATCTGGTTGTAGTCTCAACTCCACTTTCCTGTCTGTCCACCTCATGACCATACACTCCCTCGTCAATTAATAATGGCTGTAGTTTAGTTTTGAACATTTTCAATGATCCAGTTTCCACTGCTGTCTGGGGTAGGAAATCCTCTCAGAGAAGAATGTTCTTGTTATTTCTGTCTGAAGAGGCGTTGTTCTAATCTGAGTTCACTAGTTCTAGTTTCTCCCCCAAACACAAAAAGAAACCTCCCATTGAGTCTCCTTAAAATCTTTATAATTCCATAAAACCATCTCTTACTCATCTAAATACCAACGGATAGGGGCCCAACATTTTCAACCTTGACATGGGTTTCCTCCGGGTGCTCCAGTTTCCTCCCACAGTCCAGAGATGTGCAGGTTAGGGTGGATTGGCCGTGCTAAATTGTACCATAGTGTCCAGGGATGAGAAGGTTAGTGTGGATTGGCCATGCTAAATTGTCCCATAGTGCCCAGGAATGTGCAGATTAGGGTGGATTGGCCGTGCTAAATTGTCCCGTAGTGCCCAGGGATGTGCAGGTTAGGGTGGGTTGGCCGTGCTAAATTGTCCCATAGTGCCCAGGGATGTGCAGGTTAGGGT